TTGTGAAGCAATTTGAAATCTCTTCTTATAATAGGCTTGCACAATTTGATTGCGTAAGGATCTTTTACCAAAGTAAATTACCACATCTCTTGGCAGATTCTTCTGTGCTGCCACCACAGAGTTAACCCTAAATAATTTTTCAATTTCACTAAGTATTCCCTCTTTTTCTTTATTCAAAATCAATGCAAAGTCCTTTGCAACCATTTCTTTCAAATCTTCTTGCAAAGACTCTTCCAGGCCTCTGATTCTTAAGGCATATTCCATTTGTCCATATTGAAGCATAAGAATCTCATTTTCCATTTCTTTTTCCATACTTTCAATTTTCCCCTCCATTATGTCCACTTTTTCAGCTACCTCTTCCACATGGGAGTTCACCTTTTCAAGAACAGAAGCAACTCCTTCTAAAGCCAAAACAAAATCTTGTCTCAAGATCTTATTATTTTCCTCTAAAATCTTTTTCATTTCTGCCCTAATTTGAATTATAACATCTCCCATCATGTTTTGCAAATCCTTCATAGTTATTAGCTGACCCCCAGAAGAGGGTGAAACTGTTGATTTAGAAGCTGTAGAAATCCCTGGACGCTTTGGAGCCATCTTAAAGAAAAACCTTTAGCCCTTCTTAAAAAATTATAAAAATTCCTTCAAAAATCATAACTCCCTCCAAGGAAGGTCATTATAATAAAAAGAAAAAAGGGAAAAGAAAAAAAAAAGGAAGAGAAAAAGAATTGAAAAAAGCTTTACTCCTTCTTAAAAATTACAAAAAATTAAACAGAAAAAAGTCCTTCAAAAAAGAGTCATTACAATAAAAAGAAGGGAGAAGAAAAAAAAATAATAATAATTAAATAGAAAAAGTCCGTTCCAAAAAAAAAATACTTAGAGATACCAAAAACAACCATTCCAATCATAAGAAAATAAAAAGGGAAAGGGAAAGGAAAGAAAAAGAAACACCAAAAAGCCTGCCGGTCAGCATTCTAACTTCAAAAAAAAAAAAACACCGAGAGATTTGCCGATCGCCATTTTACTTTCCCTTTCAACAAAGAAAAAAAAAATAAAAAGAGAGAATAAAAATAGAAGCAAGTCTTAAAACTTAAAATCCAAATAAATCAAAGAAAGCAAAAACTAAATCCTCTACTCAGCTCTGTCCGTTTATAAAAAAAAACTCACCAGTTCTCTTTAAGCACGGAGGTGTTTGCAACGGCTCGTTTTGTCCCTGAGGACAAAAACAGCTGGGAAGCGGAGACAAGTCTGAACTCCGTGGGAGCACTCCTTTCACCCCCCCAAAAAAAAACTTGGGGGGTGCAAAAGAGGCTCTACCACTATTCAGACACTCTCTACCCCCCCCCTTTGCCCGGGAGGGGGATTTTGAACCGCTGAACAGCTGGTGTCTGCTGTTCATAGCGGTTCTTACACTTACCCAGGAAAGACGGCTACAAAGTAGCCGCCATCGCGCGCGCAAAATCCACCGGAAGTCCGAGATAAGAATGCATCTTAATGGCTTTGTTTGATCAGAGAAGTACTTGTTCTACCTAACCACCCTCAGTCTTTACTATATTCGAAGTTACTTGCTTGTATTTGTGCCAAAGACAGAATGTTGTTGGTTAAACAAACATGTGAACTGGCTTAGTAACAAATGAGAGGAAATCAGTTTGACTTGGATTTATTAATTCAGCATTTTTTAATCAAGTGATTTTGACTATTCAATAGGGATGCAAAAGAAATATGTATATTTCTTATGATATAACAAGTGATATAGTGTTCTTGTAATAGGAGAAAAAAAATAAAACCTAGGAATTAAATATAATTTTAATCTGCTGTAATATGTCTTATTTTAAAATATTTTATACTATACTAAAGGCATTTTTAATGTTGTAAATTCCCTCCTGATGTGTAGCACTGTAGGGAGAAAACAAACTAGCAATAAATATTTATTGTACTCCTGTACGTCGACAGTGCTAAGCTGACTGGATTTACCCATTACACATTCCAAAATGGTATTTATTTTATTTGTAGATATATGTTGTGATATATAGTGTGACAATACAGCTAATTTTGGCAACAAACGGTTAATAACAAGGCTTAGAGCCATACCCAAAATGTTCCAACTTTATTTTTTTCTTAATTTTGTATTTATTTTAAGACATTTTTTTAAAAAATGACTACATAAATGAAGAAAAAGAGGATGAGAAAATATATGGTGGGTGGAAAATAAAATATCAGTAAATAAATAATAAACATACTCTGATCTCTCTTTAGCTCCTGTAAATCTTTCTCCTTTTGCAAGTTTAAATTTGTGAAGTTTAGAATGCATATTATGGGCAAAACTGAATGAAGATACCACCTTGTTTACTGCCTTTCCATCATAGCAATAGATGGGATATTTGCTGCCTTCTAGGGGTCAAATACCAGACAAAATTACTGTTACCATGGAATATAATAATACAATTCTTTCCCCACTCTGCACAAGAATTGATTAAGCTAAAGGGCAGGGTTTCATAAAGTGGATGGAGTTCACTTTCATTTTCATAGGCCCCAGGAACCATTTCAACTAATGTTTACCATTTTTGTTAAATGGTTAGTACTCCTGAAAAATCAGACAGGACTATTGATGACTGCATGTACATTTATGCCTGTCATTTCGCTCTACTGCTAGTAATAATTTATGCTTTTCTAAGAACCATTCTATAATTTCTGGAATTCTGATATAAAACAAATACTATAAATAGATTCTATCCACTCACTTAATCCACTGTCTTCCCCTTCTATACTTCTCTTAATTTTACCAAGCAATGACATTTTTTTATATACCATCTCCACTTGTTACATTCATTTAAATTTTTGAATTCATATTTGATGATAATCCCCTCAACAGAGAAGCCTGTCTTTATTTGATGAAGTAGGTCTTCTTATAACTCATAGTACCTGTCTCCAAAACCATAATCTTTTTACACCTTTACATCATAATATAAATCAGGGGTCCCCAACCCTCAGTCCCTGGACTGGTACCAGGCCGCAGCATGCCAGCAACCGGTCCGCACAAACAAGCAAAACCCCATCCATGGGATGCAGGCAACACACAAAACCATGCACAGAAAAACCTTTCTCCACGGAACTGGTCCTCAGTGCTCAAAAGGTTGGGGACATCTGATATAAATAATGGCATTAATATAATTGTTGTGTATTAGCTTTTTCATAATAGCAAATCTATTTCACAGAGACGGAAGAAATTCCTTGGTGAACATTTCAATTGCCACAAAGAACTGGTTGGTGTTACAAAGTTATTTAATAGGAACATTTCTTTTAGAAATGGATCCTTCCTCAGTGCTGTCTGTTTTTATTTAAGATGCTAACATAATATAAGTCACTATCTGGCCACCTAAAGTATGAGATGGAACTGATTTAGATGCCTATGGGTATGTTCTTTATCCACCTGGTATGTCTTCTCACATTTCATACACAAATCAGTAGAGAAGCCTGTCCCTCCCCATAAATCAAGTCACAGAAATCATGCTTCTTTTTCCCTATGGAGGAAGAGAATATGACAGCTTGGCATTAGATTTATTTAGACCATTATTATGATCTTATCACTATGCTGAAGATATACCATTCACACTTTGATACTTCTAAATTTTGTAGCAGATCAGGAATTTCAATCCAACTCTTCCTGTTTTAATATTGGTCTTGTCACTTAATTACAAATTTAACTCCGGTTGCAACAATTGATGTTTTATGTTTGTCTTATTGTGGTTAACAAGTAATGGCAAATAATCAAGCTAGAAAAAAAGATTAATTCCCTAGGCATGAAATATTGTACATCTGAGAAAATTGTATAAAGATTTTTACAGCATGAATTGACCACTAGAAAGCAAAAAGGCATTCTCATTTCATATTCTAAATTATGAAGAGATGTTATAAAGAATAAATTATTAGTAGATGTAGTATATCCCTTTTTAAACTATGGCTTATTTGTTTATTTAATCGGTGATGTCAGCAAAGTAAACAAACCCCATGTGCTGTTGACATCATCAGTCATGGCCCTAATCAGAAACGACCTGCATATCCCCCACTCCTGCGATATGATGTGCATACTCTCCTTCCCGGAATGTGATTTGAATGCACATAGAATTAGGTTCGGGGTTAAACTAATCATCCACCCAGGGTTCACTCTCACACTTTTCTTGATCGAGGTAGTATCAACATATCATATCTGGTTTGGGTTATGACCTTGTGATTCCAGCCTCACATTGAGGGAGGAGAGTTAGGTACGTGATATCCAGGGAGAAGACTTGTGAACATATCTGGAGGGGGATATGCACTTTATTTCCAGTTAGGGCCATGACTTGGTGATTTCAGTACCATGTAGTGTTTGATTTCTTTGATGACATTAGTTATTTAACAAACAGCTAGGCTGCCATCAAAAAAGGGATATACTACATCTACTATTATTTGAATGCATTTCATTTGAAATAGAATTCACATATTTAAAAAGGTAACGATCAATACTTAAATATAAAACAGTTATAAAACAACAAGATGTTCAATGAACCTATAACAATTAGTTGTCTAACAACTCATTTTGTGGGATCAAATTTCAAGTAGCACTTTAAAATTTATGAATGCAGGTTTTGATTATATGAGCTTAGAATGCTCTTATCACCTTTTACTGAATGGTATTTTTTCAGAAAATGAATGAATCTAAATCTAAATGTTTGAAGGGGATAGAGTGCAGAAGAGAAAAAAAACCCCAGTCAAAACACATTGCTCCATATTAGTTTATAGACTGAATAGATGTAGCAAAAACAGAAAGAAAACAATATATTACTGTACTTTCTAGCTTGACATAATTTGGCCTTGGTTGCAATCACACTCCTAATCTTTAGAGGGTGCTCATATGCTTCACGAGTGGGAAGGAGCATCTTTTCTTTAAAATAGTGTACCTTCCATAATTTCAGGTATCATAGTAGTCAGAAACAACATTTCTTTCAGGATGCTATTGAACATACCTGTATTGTAACCTCTTCCAAGAGCTGGCCAGGGACGGTGATTTTTCCAGAGATTTCCTAAGTACCAGTCACTCTGGTTCTCCACCAAACCAAGAACCTGCTGACCTAAAAAAAATCACAAATAAACAAATCAAATCAAAAGTCAAAAATCAACTTGTAGGGAGATACTCATAATATACAAACAAGTCGATGCAAAAAGAGAATTATGTATACTGCACATTTCATATATGAAATATAAATCTGTTTAATTGCAATTTAGAATTGACTTAGAAATATAATGAGTTATATATTCAACAAAATAAAATACAGAAAAAATGCAAGTCCTCACAACTATGTAATAGTAATAAATAAGATACTTCTTGAGAACTATCCTGAGCATATTTTTATGGAAGATATAAATATATAAAAATCTTTCAACTTTTTCTTCCCTTCACCCCAAAGTTAATCAAATGCATTTTAATTATATGTTACCTATAACATATTCATTCAAGAAAATTCTAATACTTTCTTCAAAACTGTTTTAAAAGTAGACTTAATACATTATTTTTAATTGGGCTACTTAAAAATGTTAACCAGTTCTTTATAGTACATACACCAGCCTCCAACAACATAAAGTGATAAAATAAATTCGTTGTTATGTTGTTGTTAATTGCGAAGTCGTGTCTGACCCATCGCGACCCCATGGACAATGTTCCTCCAGGTCTTCCTGTCCTCTACCATTTTCTGGAGTCCATTTAAGTTCACACCTACTGCTTCAGTGACTCCATCCAGCCATCTCATTCTCTGTCGTCCCATTCTTCTATTGCCCTCAATCTTTCCCAGCATTAGGCCCTTCTCCATTGAGTCCTTCCTTCTCATTAGGTGGCCAAAGTATTTGAGTTTCAACTTCAGGATCTGGCCTTCTAAAGAGCAGTCGGGGTTGATCTCTTCTAGGACTGACCGGTTTGAACGCCTTGCAGTCCAAGGGATTCGCAGGAGTCTTCTCCAGCACCATAGTTCAAAGGCCTCAATTCTTTGGCGCTCAGCCTTTCTTATGTCCAACTTTCACAGCCATACATTGCAACTGGGAAAACCATGGCCTGGACTATACGCACTTTTGTTGGCAGGGTGATGTCTCTGCTTTTTAGTATGCTGTCTAGATTTGCCATAGCTTTCCTCCCCAGGAGCAAGCGTCTTTTAATTTCTTGGCTGCAGTCCCCATCTGAGATGATCTTGGAGCCCAGAAAAATAAAATCTGTCACTACCTCCATTTCTTCTCCATCTATTTGCCAAGAATTGAGAGGGCCGGATGCCATGATTTTGGTTTTCTTAATGTTGAGTTTCAAGCCAACTTTTGCACTCTCCTTCTTCACCCGCATCAAGAGGCTCTTTAGTTCCTCTTCACTTTCTACCATTTTCCAAATAGTACAATTCTATTTACAACTACTCATAAAGCATTCTACTATGGGACAAAAAAGTTTACAGAATTAATTTATCTTACTTTTCAACTCTCTCTCTCTCTCAACAAGTCTTATATAATCATATTAAGTTACAACTAAAAAATTCAGAATCATAAGATATTATATTTAAAATGTATCCAACGAAGCATATACATACGGTATGTGTTACATTAATTTTTCCATCCAAGCATCAAAATACTGTACAAACCTGGATCATTACAACGCATGTTCCATGGGTTTCTCAAAACTGTAATTGATTAAATCTCACTTTTGTTATTCATCAATGTGATACTTTAGCTATTTAGATGTTTTAGACATTTGCTCCCAGTTTTTCCATTATTATAGAAAGCAGAATCATGTAGTTTCTAATTATACTTCCATATTTTGTTATTTTATTCCCTGAAAGAAGTACCCCTCTGATTTTTCTGCCTTAAACACAGCATGGTAAATAATTGGCAACAGCAGTGAGATATCTGGACTTAATTTATTTCTTTAACCATCCCAGACACTTAAAGAAGTGTGGGATTACTATTTTATCTTTAATTAAACTGTTTCTTTTCTCCTCCCACCCCCTTGGGTCAATGAGATATATTAAAAGAGAAAAGGTGATTTTACCATATTTTGAACTAAGCCAGGGGTGTCAAACTGCCGGCCCATGGGCCAGATGCATGATAGCAAAACTGCGCCCACCCCATTGCCGGCAATGGCAAAAAAGTCACGATATGTTGCGACATGTCACGTGATGTTGCGAGTTTGACACTCCTGAACTAAGCCATTTTTCCTGAACTTCAAGGTTAAATAAATGGTAACAACTGTGCTCAGAAAATGACTTGCAGTGCATTCTGCATCTATACTGCTCAAGCTACAAAATGACTTAATGGAACACTACCAGGGACTTATTATTCAAGCCATGTTGAACTCTTTTCAATATATGTTTGAAAAACTATAGAGTTCTCATTGAAAAAAAATATGAATTGATTTCAAACTTTGGAGAAAGTTAGCCCACTCAGTACTGCCTTTTATTTTTCCATCAGAATTTCATAACTTGCTTTAAATAGATTCTTTTAAGTAGTAGAAAAAATCAATATACAGATATTTATCTTTTATTTTTCTGAAGAATTTACTGAAAATTGCTCTATTTAGCAATAGGTGTGCTTTATCTCATCTGATTAGGATATAGAGTCCCACAAACATACCTATGGACTCGTCAAATTGAATTATGAGCCATCAAGTTGGTGTCAACATAGATAGATTTTCTCCTAATCTGGTCCTCCAGATCTTCCAATGCACCATTTCGCTGTAACTGAGTCTGTCCACTAGTAGTCATCTTCTTTTTCATTCCATTTTTCCCAGCATTACAGCTTTTCTACAAATTGTGTTCAAAGTAGGATAATTAGAGATTTATCATTTGTGTTTTGAGAACTATGTGTTGATTTGATTCCTCCAATTTTAAAATCATATTCATCCTCTCACAAATCAGCTTCCCAAGCGTCAGCATATAGCTTGATTAAATAAGTATACAGTCTTGCATGATTCCTCTGTCAATCTGGAGCTAGTCTGTTTCGCCATGTTCTGTCTACATTGTAGCTTCCTCATCTGTATATATGCTTAGCAGGAGGACAATGACATGTTTTGGAATTTTCATTTTTCTAAGCATGTTTCACAGCTTGAAGGATTTTTTATAATTAATGAAACACATGGTGGCTTATTTTTGGTATTATTTGACTTTCCTAATTATCTAGCAAGTATCAACAATGTTGCATGTTCCTCAGCCTTTTCTAAGACCATCTTGATTATCTGGCATCTCTTTTTCCATGTAGGCATTAACCTGCATTAGATGATGCAAGTACTTTGATAGCATATGACAGGGGTGTCAAACTGCTGGCCCGTGGGCTGGACATGTCACACGAAAGCCGAACTCACCCCATTGCCGGCAATGGCAAAACAGTCCCGATATGTTGCGCAACGTCACGTAACGTCACAAGTTTGACATGTCTGGCATATGACATTAAAATAGCAGAACAAAACATCATAGGTCAAGGACTAGCTATATATATTTCTTCACATGCTCTTCTTACCTTGTCTGCAACATGTTTTTCCTTCAATCCTTACTTGAAAATCTTATGAAGGAAGGTTTTACACCTTCATGAAATAATCATATCTTCTACAACTTATACCCTGCAGATAAGTAGGAATTCAACTCCCATTTATATCTTATATCGAATAGACAGAAATCAACAATAAATCAAAGTAACACTACTAATAATAGTTATATGACGCTGGCTTATGTGGGTGAACGACATCCATTGCCTGTCTAACTACCTATTCTCAAACACCAGTAGTCAGGGCTAAGTAATTTTTGGGGGGATAGGTAGGCCCAAATGATGAACACATCTACAAAATGGGTCTTGTAGCAAGATCAGTTGTAAAACACCCATTAATCCAAGGCAAGATGGTGATGATACTTCTATGATTCTTTATACCCTCCTAAAATGTTCCCTATTATGCCTGCTATTGTAACAGATTTAACACTTCCAAACAGCTAGCCATAATTTTTATTTTCTAAAAATGCATATGAGTCTATGAGGTTTCACTCTTGCAAATACACCTAATGCTGGGGTTTATAAATAATGTAAATTTCCAATTTAATTAAAAAGTCAGACAAGATAGGAAACTTGGCAGGTACCAAAAATGGTGTCTGTGAAGTATCACATTTTTTTTGTCCCTGTATCATATCATGTACAAATATTTCTTGTTTCACTACTCTCTCCATGAATTTGAAATGTTAGATTGATTACATGCAAGCAAAGAATATCCACAATTAGTCTATAGCTGTTTAACACTTTCCTCTTTATTTTACATTCTTTTTAACACAATAAAATGTAGAAAATTGAATCTACATTTTTCTAATTTAAGTTCTACATCATATATTTTTATTTCTATAATATATTCCACATATATCCTTTTTTGATATTATTTGAAAAAATGTTAGATATTAAGACTGCCATGCTACTTTTAGAATATGGATTTTCCTTCATATTTACTATTTTATATTCTTGCTTGAGAAAAATTCAGAGAATAAAGCAAAAGTTAATATAAATCTTATTAGAGTCCTATGTGTATGTGTGAGCATCCATCTTAGAAAGAAAGTACTATTTTCCAGGTCTTTCTTTTTTATGAATAGTCATAATACGCTTCTCCCCACATACCCCCACTATACATACCGTGTTTTCCCGCAAGTAAGACCTATACCAAAAATAAGCCCTAGCTTGATTTTATGCTTGCGCCTAATATAAGCCCTACCCCCGAAATAAGCCCTAGTTTTGCGGCGAGGCATACGCATAAAAATCAAGCTAGGGCAGGGGACGGAGCTGCCTGATGTGCCCCATGCCCACCTACCTTAGAACCGCTGCAGGGGTCTCCCATGCCCCGACATTGTTGCTGCCTGAGTTTTTCTGCAGCCACACGGTGCATTGTGCTGGTGCTGCTGCTTGTGGCAGGAGGCTGCATGCTTCGTTGTGTTGATCGCGCCACTGCTGGCACTTGCGGCAGGAGGCTGCATGGCTCGTCACACTGCCATATGGCACATAGCACTGCTGCCAATGCTTATAGGAGGCCACACAGGCAACATACTCTGCAGCCTCCTGCCACAAGTGGCAGCATCGG